TTAGACTGGCTGTTCCTTGCCTGGCAATCTCTTTGAGTTCGTCTTGCAGTTGTGTTTTCTGCTTGGCACCAAGGAGAAGCTGTGGGTAGTTCAGCCTGCAGCTGCACTTTGGTTGCCGGGTGTGATGAACGAGTCTCACTGTGCCCATCTCCAGGGGAATCCACTGCCTCCGTATTTGCTGCTGGTTACAATTCAAGAGGCAATTCTGTGAGCTGTAACTAGAGTGATACCCTCCTTTCCTATATTTCAGAATAAAAAGCAAATTTATGGAGGCTTGAAGGGTCAGGAGTAGAAGGTAGGCAACTTTTGTAGGAGCCCTTGTCCTTGGATCTGCATGTTTTAATGACCATGGTAGAGCCGTGCTCTTACGCTCTCCCTCACGGTGTGTGGTGGAAGGTTACTTTTTGTTCAGCCCCAACAGTTCGTTATTGATTGACTTACTGAACAGAGGTATAGTTTAAAATTGCAGGTGTTAATGGAATTTTTGGCTAGCTGTGTTGTCATGCTACATTTTCCTTTGCAACTCTGGTTCGCAGCGTAGGTGTCTTGTCCATAGCTACGTAATTATTTCTTCTTTCTGAGAGCTGTAGTAGCAAAACTCCATGTTTTGTGGGGATTATTTTAAGTTAAAGACTATGGCTGCAAATGGATATGTACAACTTTATTAAAGCTACCTAAATTGAACAGACTAAATTGTGAAAGCCCATCAGTTGGAAGTTACACTGATAACTCATTCAAATATTTTAATTTACTCAATGACTTGTGGGGCAGTAAAGTTTGCTGTACTTTGATTTCAAACTACAGCCTTTTGCTAGTGTTCCATATTATTGATTAGCATGGGGGCCTAGCTTCATCATGGAATCATTTAGAATCATAGAATCATTTAGGTTGGAAAAGACCTTTTTAAGATCATCAAATCTAATCATAAATCCTGTCAGACTTCAGCCTCCGATTGACAGAAAGATGCTACTTGGTAGGGAATTCATCTCAGTTGTCATCTGAATTGCTTTCCAACAATCCTTGTATCTCCATGTTCACAACACAGGTAACCTGAGCTCCTTCATTCAGGCACTCCTAAGTTTGCGAGGTGGATAATAGCTCTTTTTTCTTTATTTCATTTGTGTTCTGTTCTTAAGTGAAAGTACGTTCTACCACATGACTCTGTAAGCTAAGGCTCCCCTATTATGATGTAATGCTACACTGCTGAGTTTTGGCAACACTGTGGGAACCCCAAAACTAAGAACTCCCCAATGACAGAACTTTTTGATTCCTAGAGGTTGAATCCACAACCTGTGTGTTGTAATACTTAATAATGCTACAGCAACTGGGAGAATTAAAATATCTCCAAATAGGACTCACATCAAGCAAAAGCTTGATGGGAAGCTGGCAAAAATATCTAAGTGAAAATTCTTCTCAGTGAGGTGCAATTTAATACATCCTTCACCTCTCTAGGACCCAGGAAGCTGTATCAGATTGCAGTTTATAGCCAAAACCCACTCCTGGGGTTTTGGAAATTGGCAGCTGGTATATACTTTATTTTTCAAATGGTGCTTTGAGAGGAGAAAACCACCTTTTATATAAGATACAGGTTAAATCTGGCACTGAGCTTGGAAGAGAAATCTTGAGCACAAGTTCTTGTTTGCAAGTCATTTCTGGTTTTGCAATTTATTCGTTCACTTCCTAATACAAAATGCAAAGACTGTCCTGGGATCAAAACCCAAAAAGTCATTCTTGCAGGGAAGACCTAAATGATTCATGTCAGCCAGGTACAGATTTGGATTCCTTGAGGTTGGATACAGATAGGCAGGTAGCCTAGGGGAGTACCCTCACCACTGTGTTTCCCTTATGAAATGCCATTGTGCTGCCTTTCCCTCCAGCAATGGATTTGAATAAGGTCAGCTGTGGATGATTTTTTTTAAAGTCGGTGCTGTTAGCACATTAGTCATTTTCTGAGAGTTATAACTGGGTTGAATCTTAGGTATACAGATCTAGATTTGGCCTAGGTACATGCAGAAACAGCATTTTAGGTGTCACGGCTGCTTTACTTGAGAAAATATAGGTGCTTACAGCTTTTCAACCAGCTGAGATGGTGTCTGAGGCAAGGCTTTAGACATCACTCTTAACTTAGAAATATTCAGTTTCCACCTGAGCCCCAGGGAATGTACCCGTTTCAGAAGTCCCTTTCTGAGTAATCCTTTCCTCAGAGGAACTGGTGGATGCTGTTCAGCATAGTCATCGTCAGGTGCCTAATTTTCATTCGTGAATACCCTCCACATTAGTGGAAATATTAACCTGCTTTAATGTAGCATACATTTAAGTGACTTTTTGACTTTGAGTTTATCCCAGGCAGAATTGCATCCTAATATACTGAGTGAATGCAAAGCTATCCAAAGCTGTTACACTACCCAGACCTGTGGAGTAGGATAGCTGCCGTACTTTAGGGCAGAATACAGTATTGAGGTTTGGCTCTTCCCCATACGCCAAAAAAAAAATTAGCAGATTATTACTATGCTATTCATAACTAAAAAATAGTGATGATGACAGTTTGTCCAGTCTGTCAGTCTGCATCCAGGAGTAGCCAAGTAATTGTGTTGACATCATCCATTTTTTTGACTTAGTAAAGTAAATACCTACAGTTTCATATGCTGTGCACCGTCAGAAAGAGTACTGTACATGCCAAAGAAATGAGAAAGAGCCAGGTCTGATCCAGGGGTGGGATATGATTTGAAGGAATCTTATTTCAGTATCCTAATGGATATTGTTTGGGAAAACACAGTAATAGTGTTTGCGGGCAGCCAACCATCTCTAGTACAGAGGAGCATGGAATGACAAACAGCTTTTGTTTATAGCAAAAAGTGGGTATTGGCTAAGAAGTAGTGTTTATGGTAATTGAGCTCTACAAGGAAGTAAAACTTAGTGGGGAACACAGGGGGTAGCTTTTGCAGTGAAGCAGGTAATAAGGAGAGCTGTGTAGGCATTTCCTGATTAGCATCTGCTGTTTCAACAGCCAAGGAACATGACTCGCATGTAAATGCTTGTGCTAAGCTTTAACAGGCATTCCCTCTAGCACGCCACCCTGCCTTCTGCTTTTATTTTGAGTCTCCTTGAGCCCTACTGTGATTTGAAATCAGTGGAGGAGAAAGGAGAGTAACACAAACAACAGATGTCTTAAAGGCTTGGAACAGAGAGAGAAAAAGCCCCATGGCAAAGGAGAAGGTGCAGCTAAGGTTTTTCCTGTCATGAGTTTTTGGTGCCTCTAGTACAGACTGTATTTGTATTTCTGCATGTGTATATAAATACAGCTGTGCATATAGGTGGTGAAGAAGTGATAGTGCAAAAAGATGGCCATTGCACACATCAGAGAATATTTTTTGCATCCTGTAAATGAGTGTGACCTATAGACACTAAGAGTACTTGCTCATAGAGAAAGCAACCTATTTTAGGGCAGGTTCACAAATTATTTTCCAGCTGCTGCGGCAACTGCTTTTAGTCTGTTGCTGGATAAAATACACTAATTATTTTTATTTGGGGTTAAAAGTTACTTCATAATAGAGAAAGCTTATAATATGCCTGGGATCTGTCAAGACAGCTTTGCTTACGGGTGGTAACTTAAGCCATGGAAATGCAAATACTGTGTACCCCATAACACTGGAGAACTTGATTGTGCACTAAGTGGCATTTAGTGCAGATTCAGAAAAGTACTTAATCTGTACTTTCTGGTATGGGGAACTGTGTCTTTAAGGACTTTGATTTCCAGAAAGGAAATCTGTGACTGAAACAGCTGAGAAATTCTTACAATATATAGGCAGCTGGGGATGGCATAGACACCCTGAAAACACATTACCTGCTGAGTGTTAACTCAGTACTGCATGGGGCCAGGAGCAAAAAGAAATGAAAACGAGGGGAAAAAAAAAAAAAAAGAAAAATACTGTGAATGGAGACTGAAAATATATGACGTTTCCCGATTTTTACATCTTGGGAAAGGCAACTGAAAGAAATATAAAAGGATTCAGGGCTGAGAACTTTGTGCTCTGAAAGCTTAGCAGAAGAAGCAGCAAGCTACCTTCCACTTTCCTGCATCTACCTCCTCCTTCTATGTCTTATATCTTCCACAGGTTTCAGCAGATGGGTCCAAAGACAGAAAAATCACATTCACACAGAATCCTATTTTCTTGTGGTATTTTAAATGTAATTTTATTTGCTTATTAACTTGCTGGTTTTTTTCAAAGGATTTTGGTAAACTCTGTCTCAATATATGTTCACACTGTTTATTTTGTTTCTGTTACTTGTGTTATTAAAAAATATATATTTAAATTATTATTTGGCTACTGGGCTACAGAAGTCTGTGCTTAGGTTTACCTTAGTAAAGGGTTTAGGACAACTGCTCTGTTAATGAATGTGACTTCTGAAAAGCATTCCAGTTTGGGGATGAATGCTGAGGATGTCAGTAGGAATTATTTCTCTTTGTACAGAAATTTGTACATCAAAATAGTGTTTTCCTGTGGTGTTTCAGGCCATGTGGACTCTAGAAAATGATACATATTTTGATGCGTTCGTAGCAGCATTTTTTAAGCATTAAATATTAGTTGTTGTAAACCATAGAGGGAGTTTGTTGCATTTAGTATGTTAAAATGGAACAACTGTTCTCTCATTAATGCTATTTTAGCACAGACTTTCTTAATCTTTACAAGGATACCCTATCAGAAAACTAAGCACAATAATAATTATGCCTGTATTTTAAACAGTGGTTTTATGCCTGTGTTGCTTCCTCTCTGCTTTGAAAATATACTCTCCCTGTTGCACAGATGGGAAAACAGAGGCATCCGCAGAAGGTGAAATAAATTCACCTGGAGGTCATCTAGAGGAAGACAGATCTCCTGGTCTTAAAGCAGAAACTTATTATAAGTCATATATTAAACTTATCAAGAGGTATTTGTAAGTTAATAAAACAGAAGCCGCACTTTAGAGATATCATTTAACATTTACTTTTCCTCCCACAGGAACTTTTTACACCGGAGTGCAAATTCAAGGAGTCTGTTTTTGAAAATTATTATGTAATCTACTCATCCATGCTCTACAGACAACAGGAGTCCGGGAGGGCCTGGTTCTTGGGGCTGAACAAAGAAGGGCAGGTCATGAAAGGAAACAGAGTGAAGAAAACAAAACCAGCAGCTCATTTTCTACCCAAGCCATTGGAAGGTGAGGTTCAGTCCATCGCTTGCAGATCCTCCTATAAATCTCGCAAGAAGAAGAGAGAATGGTTTCTAAAATACCTTCTGTGAATGTGCATGCCCCGCACAGGGGCCATTCCAAATGACAGTCCCCAGGATTCATGGAGCGGTTTTGTGCTTCAGCATAGTGATGCTAGAAAGAGCATATGTAAAAACATTTTTTCCAGGGATTAAGAGGTCATTTTGCAAGAAAAGGAATCTTTTGTGGAAGTGCATTGTGCTGTTTTTAAAATATTCTCTTGGTAGGGACAAAAGCTGTTGTGAGTCTTGCAGTGAGAAAATAGTCCTTTCATTAAGCAGAATGAAATAATGGATATTGTAGGATAATTGGGAGTTATAAAGGGAATGGATGAAATGTCAGCATTTCAAAGTAAAAGCTTTCTAATACAACACACAAAGGTCTCTTTATAAAATAAATCATACTGTATTTCTTAGCCAGTTGATGTAATGCACATAACTTGTGTAAGTTGGCCTTTAAACCAAGATAGAAGCAAATAAAAGTTATGCTAACCTTACACACTAAAATGATGTCATACATCCTCTGAAAAACACATTCATTTATACCCTGGAACTTGTGAGTTATCTGTGTTCTGCAGGCCTTTATAAACCTATGCTTCTTTTCGCTTCTTGTCCCAATGGAACTCCAGATTTCACTGGTATTATTGCTACACATAGTCTCAGTCATTCTGAAAATTATCCCATTACTTAACATCTGAAAACACACACCTGAGTAATGCTTTAGTTAGCAGTCCCATTTCTTTTAACGCTTTACCTTAAAATTTTTGATTAAAGGATCAGTTTGTTAAATGTTTTAGAGTTTCATCATAAGGAAAGAATCTGAATAATCCTATGTTTTAACATGATATTTGAACTCAGGTTGATACCTTCATGATTCCCTTGTCTTGCAAAAGCTTACAGTATTTTCATGAGCTCTCAACAATATTGACACTTTATATGGCAATGCCTTCATATTAAATTATAAGAATTGTAGGGAGGAAAAGCCAATGCATTTTTAAAAGCAACATCAATTTATACGGCTTAGGAAAGAAGCGACTTTTTTCATTAATGTTTGGATGGTCAGACCCTATCAAAATAGCTTAGGCAAGGCTTAGCAATGAGTTGCTTTACATTGCCCATGAAAGTCATCAAATATGACAGCTCTGCTATATAATTCCTTATTTTATAGTTCCATCTCATGTTATTCGACTTAATATTTTTGTAGGTCACAGTGTTATTTCACCAAGCTCTTTTAATTAATCAGCAAAGTGTCCTAAACACAGTTATGGGGGCACTCTGAAGACATAGATCATAACCAGCCTGATGTACTCTAGAGAAGACGTTTAATTTCAGACTTTCAGAAGCCATAAAAGGATTTAGATTATGTCATTGGAAATGTTAGAACAAGTATTTGATTAGTTAATGATGCTATGGGGCCCTTCATATTTATTATGAAACTTCACACCATTGAAGATCAAGGTCAGTACTTTGATGCACCTGCCTTCTACTCTAATTAGACAAGGGATGAAGGGACTGTGCTCTCTATGCCTGCGCACAGCCGGTCCTGAAATCATAGTGTGATGATTAATTCCTTTGACTGCTTTGACATCTCTTTTAACGTTGCTCTGATATAAATAAATGCTAGTGAAGTTAGGTATAAGTGGAAATATTACCTGATTCAGTGGCATGGAAAATGAAATTGAATTATCCAAGAACATTAATCATTAAGGCAGCTTAATTCTGGAACTGTGTAATTGAACACATGTATTTTCCTCAAAGGATTTAAAGTGGTTAGATAGGGACTGAAGCCCAGGGGCAAACTTTTAATTCCTCTAAGAATTCAGTTAACAGTTTAATTTGGAGTTTTCTGTACTTCTACATTCAGTGGAGATCAGTGGCTACTGTATATATTTTTGGAAAGGAGGAATAAAATTACCCAAACCTCTTGTGTACTCTCTGCAGCACCGTCCTGGACATTTCTTTAGTACACATCTGAAGAGATCATGGCCAAGCTCCTCACATTTGGGAGACAGACGTACAAATAACTTTGTAGAATCGGACCCAAGCCTAGTCTTGCAATGTAGGACTAAAAAAGAACACTTAAGTCTAGACAACTGTATCGTATGATCCCATTTGTTAAACACCATCTGTCTTATCATATTTTACTTCTAAAAACTTGCAGAATATTTATTTAAAGGGTGTGTATATATATACATATGTGTATATGTATGTACATTTTTGTGTGTCTGCCTCATGCAAAGACAGAACAGTAGTTTTTCATTTCCAAGGCTTCTATAGTTTCCATTAAACAAGCAAGCATACAGTTTCGTACTGTGTTTTTATGTCAGATACAGAAGAAGTGAGAAATTTGGAGGGTCAAGCAAAGCTATCAGTCATGCAAAACAAGTGTCTGTCAAAGTAGTTTCCCTCATGGGCAAGAGGACCATAGATTATATTACAATATCAGTTATTGTAGAAAATTAATCCCATTTGAGATGAGCTCTTAAATGAGACACATTCTTAAAAATGCCTCTCCTTTCCTCTTTTCTCCCTGCAGTTGCCATGTATCGAGAACCATCTTTGCATGACATTGGAGAAACAGTGCCAAAGGCTGGGGTAACTCCAAGTAAAAGCACAAGTGCATCTGCAATAATGAATGGTGGCAAACCAGTTAACAAGAGTAAGACGACATAGCCAGATCCTCGCAGGTGTTGTGACTTACTGAGTCCCGAGTACAGTTGAGCGATTTATCCTTGCCAGACTTCTCCTCTGCAGTGTCTGTGGATCAGCTTGTGGCAAGTCACAGGCTTGCCCGTTGCTGTTTCTGAACCGAGTTATTGCAAGCGGATAAATCTCAACATGTAGCTCCACCCACAACAAGAAGACACCTGGATGAACCAGCTAAACTCAGACCATGGAATGCCCTACCAGATATTGGAATGCCTTTTTAATATCTTTTCTGTGACTGTGACACTTCATGTGAATGACATATTTCACAAGTACACTTGATACCTTGCCTGCTGACAATTGCCCATAATCCCTTTTTGAGTCCAGTTTCAGCAAAATCCGTGTGTTTAAGTTCTATTTTGTAGCACACAAATAATCAAGTAATTTCTAGTTAGATGCTGTAAACCTGTGCTATTATGGATTTCTCTTCTTCCCTTTTTTATAAGGCTGCTCGCTCCACTGTCTGTGACCTTTTGCAGGGATTGTGTTTCTCTATAACTTAAGTGTTGCCAGTGGCTTAGTTTTGAAAGCAATCAGGGAATCAGGAAGCCTTCAAAAATCTATTATTACAAATTATATCTATAAAGAATAGGATTGTTGTCTCTGGCTTACAATATTGATTAAATGTGAATACTCTTTAGTAACAGATACTGTGCTTCTGAGGTTGGCATTATAGTGGAGGGAAGAGTGTCAAACACAACCAACAGGAAGTTTTCTGAAACGAGTGTTTGGCATCCCCCTATAGTTTCTTTTTGTGTGTGTATTTTATACATATCACAGGCTTACTGGTAATGGTAACATTTGCCTTGCCCAGCGAGCAAGACCCACTGATTTTTGGGAAAGTGGGTCCAAAGAATTTTGTAGGCCTTGTAGGCCTGAATTAAGGCTCATTTTTCATCTACTAAATCTTCATTGTTTGAAAAACAATCACCACCAGTAAAAAAAAAATAAATAAGACTAGCCAGAATTGCGCTACCTAAATCCATTTCAAATATAATCCTTTCCTGTTTTTAAGGAACTGAACTTAATGCCATTGTTATTTTTGGCTGAATCCCACACCTACTTAGCAAAGCATGGGCAAGGATGTTGTTGTGTTCTTTTTTGCAGCACCAATGCAAAGGGTAGTTACAAATTATAGTTTAATACTTCTGGTGTTTTAAAAAAACAGTTTTAAAACTAGACATATTACAAAACTTTATTTTTATTTTCAGCTAAGCATGCAAAGTCCGGTCCTACGTATCTCACTGATATCCCAGTATGTATGTCCACCCAGCTTCCTAGAATAATATGCCCACCAAATTGCAAGATTGAAGGTGCCTTGCCTTGATCTCTGTATACTGTACTTTCTCCTACATGAACCTAGAAGAAATCAAAAACATTCTAAAATTGAAGAAGCCTTGGATCGTATTACCAGAAACACGATCAGCACTTTGAGTTTGTCACTTGTGAACAATTAAACCAATGCTGGGGGAGGGGGGAGAGATTCAGAGAATGCCGCAGAGATGCCACTGAAGTGTTGCACACTTAGTCACAGGCTTTCAGAAGACTAAAAATATGGGTACTCTCTGTATGCTTACGGTATTTGTTTCTCAGAAAGGGCAACAAGGATCAAACTGTACCTCAGTCTGGAAAACTATGTGGCAATGCTCTCTTGGCCTCTTGCTGTTACCTTGATATTTAAAGACAAAAAAAGGAAATCATCCATTCCTTTTTTAGCACTGTATTTCTGGCAATTTGTTTTATCACGTCTTTGTGCTGAAGTCCCTAACAGAGACCAATGGTTATTTCAAACTCCCTGTCTGCTCAGCTGAACAGTCTGATTCAGTCTGAATGAACTCTTCATGCTAGTTTTAAAATGTGTTCTGTTTTTATAGGCAACATTTAGTGCACTCTTCAAGGAGGCTATTGTAAAGCTGCTAAATTCTAGATTTTTTTTTTTTTCATAGGCCAGACTTCCTTATTTATATATGTAATATGAGGACAGCAAGCTAACACTTGATTTTGGGTTTTTCTAGGGAGGGAATGAGTTAAGCATGAAGCCCACTATCCATGTAGAGGAATAAAATACAAACCTACTCCAATATTCTGATAAAAACACAAAGAAACTTTGACTTAGACTGTGCCCTCGCCTGCTAGCACTAAATACGTGTGCATGGGAAAAACAACACTTTATTAAAAACTTTGGTGCACCCTACTCATCCCATCTGGTCCAGTGGGATTTGTGCACCATCCCTGAGAAAACAAAACGAAACCAAAGCAACTCACATGTTGAGCTGGGAGCTTGCTCTGCATCTGGAGGACCCATGGGAGGCAGCAGCCTTGACGCTGTACTATCTGCTGGGTCCCAGAGGAGGCCCCAGGCTTTCCTACAATTACAACAGGAGCATTTCACAATATTTTGTGAAGGATAATACAGCTAAAGGCTAAGGCTACATCCTCTTTCTCTCTCACCTGAATTTTGTAAGCGTTCATGAGGAGGGAATACATGTGTTGGTGTCCCATCCAGCCATCTTTTTACTCTCCCAGTGTAAGAGCCTGGGGAGATACAGGGCTGGAGACCTGGCTGAGCCGCACGAAGAAGTTCTGGTTCATGGCCTGATACTACATAAATATTGTTTTCAACAGTAAACTTTTAATCCTGGGTAATTATGATCTGCAAACCACTTTGGGGGTCTACAATTAAGGCCAGATTTAATTTTTGTAAACAGTTAGTACATACTGGAAATACAGCAATTTTTAAAATTATTTTCTGGTTTTGTTTCTATGGGCTAAGTCCATATGTGTATTTAATCCAATGAAAAGATGTCCTAAAAAATATTTTTTCTACAATCTGTTTAAACATAGCAAAGGGTCTTTGTGCTTTGTTTCCTCCTTTAATTTTGTCTCTTGTCTCATCTGTGCATGGGAAGAGGATGACAAGGATGAACTGCATGTAGTAGGTTGTGTCTATCAAAGAACTGTTGGTCTGTATTACTAAATTTACATACATATATGCAAAGAGTTTGTCTGCATTGTACAGTTTGTGTTTATTCTTATTTGTTGTATACACAGATTCAACATGATGAATAAAACATTTATATGAAGGAATACCAGAAAACAAAAAAAAAAGTTTATGTAAGAAGTAGACTGTGCAAAACATCATTGCACTGGCCACAGGATGGTGAAACTTCATGTAAATAGGTTGGCAAACTCAGTTCTCCCCTTTTACCATGCCAAAGAAAATTTTAGCTCCTTAATATAATACCTCTCTTGCTGTTCTCCAGGATGAGACTTCACCATTTTCTTCCCTCTAAAATTAATTTTGCTGTTAAGTGAAAGCTGTTTTCAACTGTCTGTTACTACTAAAGTACTGTATAGTAAACCTGATGGAATCAATTTGTATTTACAGATTGGGTTTTTTGTACTTACATGTCCAGCTGTCTGTGAATCTGCAGCGTTCCAGATCTTTTGCATGCTTGCTTTGAATTTTGTTCTTCTGGGTTTTATCTAATCTCTGAGAGACTGTTTGCACAGCAATCCAACCTCATCTTACTATTTCATATGTTAACATTGCACATAGTCATTATATCTTTCCTTTTTTTTTTTTTTTTTTTTAAATCTGTGTTTCAGCTACAGTTCTATTTGGCAAAATCAGTCATACCTGCACAGTTTTAGAAATCCAGTTTTAGAGTAGATATGAACTACTTCAACAAAGCACCATTTTGTTGTACTTCAAAAATTTTATAAATACACAAGAATCCTTATGAGATTGGTCACATGATAGAGCCTATAGAAAGGTGTCTATAGCTTTTAAGTGCTTTGTAGTTCACATAACACAGCTTTTGCTTAATTTGCTGGGGTTTTTAGCCACTCGAATAATTTTTAATATACTGTCATTTTCATAAACTTTAACTTGTGTATAGAGTCAGGTTGGTTCTTAACAAGCCCCCTTCCCGCCAAATATAGAGTAAAGCAAATCACTTTTACTATGGTATATACCTGAAACAACACTAAGAACGCTGACTTTTTTATATATATCAGGAAAGTTCTCTTAGTTTAAAACCACTGTAAGCAATGAGGTATAAAAGCAGGCAGTTTGGTCCATGCATTAAAAGTGTGTCTTAGCTGATCAATCTGTTTATTGGTATAAAGAAGAAATTATTCAGCTCCATTCAAATGGGAATGCAAGTAAAATTAGACTAAGGAGGTTATCTTTCTTTTAAATGCCCCTTTAGATAAACTCATATTATGTGCAATGCATTTTAAAATGTCTAATAACGGGGAGAGGGGGGTTGTGATGACTAATGCAAATGCTATGACTTACTTTTAAAAATTTTTGTTCTATTACCTAGACACAGAAATATTCAACTTAGCTTTCTTCATCCCAGTATCATTTAGCTGTATCATTTAGCTACAAAGTGAGATGTCATTCTGTAAAGAAGCAAGGGCAATGCATCAGAAATATCAGAGCAGGTACATGATTAAAAGTTCATCTATGTGTTTCTTAAAGAGAGTATGGCCAGGGAAAAACGGATCACAAATAGGTTAATAATTTATACAAGCAAGTCAATCCACAGCTGTTTTATAGGTGATATTACAGATATGTTATATACAATAGGCATAATCCTGCAAGTCTATTGTAGAATCATTCGGCATACTTCTGGATTGTGTTCTTTCTCTCATAAGAAGAAAGCAAGGCTACAGTATCTTTTGTTTCGAAGGTTTATCAATCTAGCCAGTACGAAATCCCCATTTATCCAATTTGTTTATACCACCTACAGCTGCCTTTTGCCACAGGCCTGGAAGCAGGTTTTTACAGTCACTAGGTATGGAGAATCAAGCAGTATGTTTCACTCCCTTACACCTCTTTCTGCTTTTACAGTTTACGTATCTGGAATTCCCATCACAGGGGATGAGGTGTAAAATCGCAATTTATTAATACAGGTATTATTTTCACATATGTGGAATAATAATCTTACTCCTTCCCATCTCATTTTTCTAGTGAGGAAATGAGCCACAAAACAGATCTACCAGGAGTTACATCACCAGTTACCTCAGCATGAAGAGTGGGGGGAATGTTCAAGCGACTTTCTAAGAAACAAAATAAAAATTGGAAATGAATTTATGTTATACATTATATTTTTAGTAGTCTTAGTTAATACTTTAAGATTTATAGTGATAGCACCATTTTGTTTGATAGTTTGCATTTTAATGTAAAGACGGTAGCTGTCTTAGAATAGTCTAATATTTTTCCATAGGTACCTTAACAAACAACTTGGAAAACACTTTTTGAAATGCTATCGCTATGTAATCCATCCAGTAGCCAAAATGTTGGAGTTGATTGTTTTTTTAAAAAGATTCTAACTAGAAATCAGAATCGTCTTACATTCTTTAAATATATAAATTTAAAATGAAAGCAAATTACAAAGTAAGCATCAAATATGACATTGCAACCCTCTAAAGAATTGTTCTTTTGTCTTTGAGTAAGAGTACCTGGAATACCACGGTTGATCTACGATATATATAAATCTGCTTATTATGCCATGAAACTGGTCAAAAGCATCTACTGAACCTAGATAAGAGTTCTGATTATCTAGTATTTTCTTATTACAGTACTAAATACAAATGGAAGGAAATCAAGGAAAACTTTGTATTTTTCACTGTTTACACTCTGATTCAGCAGATGAATGTATACATGAAAAAACACTGATGATAGGATGATTCAGCTCAGTGGTAGTCATAAATATAAATAAAACCAACAATCTGTGCTCTCCAGACACCAGGGTTGACAAAATGCGTATATGTTAAAATTTAAGAAAATATTCCTGTTAAGTTCTGCAGAGTTTAAGGGTTATAAGTATAAAATATAAACTATAATTTCAAGATGAATTTTACTTTGAAGATTCTTTATACTGTATCAATACACTTTAGAATGCTGTCTGATGTTTTGGTTATCTAAAAAAGGAGCATCTAGCAGCTTTTGGATGTATGTCTTGTTATTTATCTGCATAACTTCTATATAAGTTACACACAGATGTTTGGTGATTATGCTCCCTGAGAACACGGGTTTCAGAAGCTTCATCTTTAGAAAGAAAGAATCCAGGTTAAGGAAGAAAATTGGATAAGAGAAAGAGCAAGCTACATGGGAAGGGGGAAAAATAAAAGTGATTAAATAAAT